ATATATATATATATATATATATATATATATATATATATATATATATATATATATATATATATATATATATGAACACAGTGTCTCTTGATGTGCAAATGTCTCCCGTTTAAATAATTTATGATGCCATTAATTTGTATTTATTGTGTTATTTTTATTGGTTATTTTATTGTACAATTATTATTGTTTTATTCCCTCAACTGTGAAGCGTTCAATTGTTGGGCAAGGGGTTGTTTTGTGAGGAAAAAAACATCAGCAATAGTGACCAGAAAACATTCTGATGGGCGTGTAAAAGCAGTAATGAAAGGTATCCACTGGTCACCTTCAGCGAGCGGTTCATGTCGCTCTCCATGTTGGCGATGGTCATCCTCTGCATGATGATGTCACTGACGCGGCGCTCTAATGACTGCCATTTGACCCGAGCTGTTCTGGTGGAGAAAACTCCTCCCGTCCTCATCAGGTACTTTCTGGACGAGACGATGGAGATCAGAATTAGTGAAAAAAGCTCAGACTATCCTACATTTCCAGCTCTATATGTAATCCTGTTTGAAGAATAAAAGTGCTATTTTATGAGTTACATAAATCCAGTAGTGCATAGAACCACATAGAACATCCATAGAACCACTCAGCCCCAATGCCGCCCACCTGGTGTGTTGAGAACCCTAATAAGCTGAACACACATTACCTTGTCCCGTTAGGAGCCGTGGCTCCAGGGGTCTGTGGCCGTCCGGAGCCTGTGCGGGCTGAAGAATCCTGCAGCGGCTCTGGTAAACTGATCTTGCGGTTAACCTTGCCTGATGCCGGTCGTACCTGTCGCCTCAGCGCAGTTATCTGGATCAAAGAAGTGGAAAAATGTTTGTCTCTGTGTGAGGAAGGAACAGCTTACAATTCCTTCATCATGACAAAGAGTAGCTGATCAAATCTGTCTGACGTCTTTATTAGCTTGCAGTTTGACTGTTTTGGTGGATTGGACTTTTTGGACAGATTTCCTGGAGTATTTTATTCAGTATTTTGATTTCGGTTTCAAACATTATTATATATTATTATTATTATTCAAATTATTCATATTCATATTATTATTATTATTATATATTATTACTATTATTATTATTATTCATATTATTATTATTATTGTTATTATTATCATTATTAATAATATGATTTGTATTATTATTCATATTAATATTATTAGTAGTATTTTTATTCATATAGTAATTATGATTATTATTATTCATATTCATATTATTATTATTATTAATAATAATAATAATAATAATAATAATAATATTAGTATCACTAATATTATCATTATCGTTATTATTACTAATAATAATATAATTACTAATATTATTATTATTAATATTATCATTATTATTATTCATTATTAATATTATTATTATTGTTGTTATTAATAATATTTGTATTATTATTATTCATTATTATGGTTCATATTAGTATATTATTATTATATTATTATTATTGTTATTATTATCATTATTAATAATATGATTAGTATTATTATTAATATTAATATTATTAGTAGTTTTATTATTCATATAATAATAATTATGATTATTATTCATATTATTATTATTATTATTAATAATATTATTATTATTATTACTAATATTATTATTATCATTATTATTACTAATAATAATATAATTACTAATAATATTAATATTGTAATTATTAATAAGATTAATATTACTATTATTATTATTATTATTATTAATATGATTAACATTACTATTATCAATAGTATTATTATTATTATTATTATATTAATATAATAATTATTATTATTATTATTATTATTTAAATACACAATTATTATTATTGTTATTATTATTATTATTATTAATATTTTCATTATTATTATTTATTATTAATATTTTCTGTATTATTATTATTATTAATATTATGATTATTATTACTAATATTAATATTAATCTTATTGTTTTTATTATGAATCTTATTATTAATATGGTTAATATTACTATTCCTATTATTATTTTTATTACTATTATTATTATTATCATTATGATGTATTTATTTATTTAAATATAGTAAGACATATGATATTTGTATTAACTTTTCGAAGAGTTGTATTTAGAGATTTCTCAAAATTTAGCTTTTTTACTCTAACCATCAAATTAGAAATTTTAAACCCAAACAAAAAAAAGGTTCAGATAAATAATAAAAACGTTATTTTAATAAATAAATGAATAAATAAATGTGATGCATCGCCAGTGATGTATCCTGGGGTCATTGGGTGTTTCAGGCCTCAGACATCAGACCCCCTCGCCCAGGTGACCCAGCTGAGGTTGATCAGACCACAGCTTGCGTCCCAGTAGCCATCGGTAGGGCCAGACGGAATCTGCGGACGTTTTTAGCAATTTCTGCCGAGAATTTTGGTAAAAATCGGCAGATTTCTGCGGAATTATTTTGGGAGTTTCATAACTAAAACCTTAATATGTGAAATAAAAAATAACATCATCTTAACTTTAATGTAATGTTTACAATGCAAATCCAACTAGATTCACTTCCTTTAGTAAACAAAGCAAGTCTCTCAAATAATATCTCTACTGAAAGACAGAACATAGTACTGTACATACTCCATTGTACATAGATCAGATGAACATTTTCATATAAGTCAATATTATCACTGAAATGAATGAACATGGATTGCGCTGAATGTGAAGACGTCACCTCCTCCGCTCTCCTGCGCAGAATGAGCTCCTGTTGTCTCTTCTGCGCCTCCAGCTGCCGAAGTTGATGCTGAGACACAAAAAAAAACAGATAACAATGACACCTTCCTAAAACCATCTCTAGACAAAAAGACACAGGTGCCTCACACAGGTGAGTGGGCCTGACAAACCACCTGCAAAAAACACCATACTCTCAATAAGCACTCACTTAACTCCATCTAACAACGACTCAATGAGGAAAACAACGTTTACTTGTGAATGTACGACACAATCACGTCGCACTATTTACTTTTATCAATCTCTTTTGGACAATATCTCACACAAAATAGTTCTGTCTTATGTAAAAGCACCTATATAGTGTGTCTTAGGTTGTGTGTATAGTGTGTGTATAGTGTATATGTATAGTTAATGTAGTTAGATTAGCGCTCTGCTATGTTAGTGACGTATAGGTGTAAAGCAGCTCTTAATTCCAGTGATGTGTTCATATTTATAATTATGTGTATTTGCGTAGCTCCGTATGCTCTTACAGTGATTAATAAGCTAATGTTTTTACAATATTACTAAATCGTCTTTGAACGTAAATACAGCCAGCGTGTGTGCGGGAATGTGTTGCTGCACCTCCTGCTTGCGATGGTCTTTCTTGAGCGTGGCGATCTCTCGGTTACGCCGCGTCTCTGTGACTCTCGTCCTCTCCTGCTGCTCCTTCATCTGCTTCATCAATCCCACCTGAGTGAAGGCAAGAGGACGCCTGTTACACACTCCTGCGCTATCAGTGTCAGACTAACACACTGACGCGAGTTGAACAATCGAGTCAATTATCAACCCAGGCTCATTCTGATTACGTACCCCTGCATACATTTCTGGAGAGCGCCAAATACATCCCGGGAGGTCTGTTTTTTTTCGGAGTTTTAATGTTTGCGAATCCGCCGGAGGCTGCTGAGTATGGTTTTAAGATCTCGATTTTCTCTCGTGAGCGTCATTCGTGCCTGATGTTCTTGCGTAAATCCACCAGAGTCCGCTGTTGACTGACTGATTTACTGATTTAGTGACTGACCGACCTATACCATCACCCACCCTCCTCCATAAACCCAACCAATAGTGTTTTCAAAGGCACCAATTGACCCAATCACCCCTTTCTCTAAACCAAACCAATGGTTTTAAAAAGTAATCCAGAAAAAGAAAAGCCCTCGTCTGATTTTTACCACATTTTCAGATTTCATTCATTCATTCATTTTCTGCCGCTTTTCCGAGGCCGGGTTGCGGGGGCAGCAGTCTTAGGAGAGAACCCCAAACTTCCTTATCCCCAGACACTACCTCTAGCTCCTCTGGGGGGATCCCGAGGCGTTCCCTGGCCAGCCTAGAGACATAGTCCCTCCAGCGTGTCCTGGGTCTTCCTCGAGGCCTCCTTCTAGTGGGACATGCCTGGAACTCCTCCCTAGGTAGGCGTCCAGGAGGCATCCGAAACAGATGTCCAAGCCACCTCAGCTGACTTCTCTTGATGTGGAGGAGCAGCGGCTCTACTCCCAGCTCCTCCCGGATGTCAGAGCTCCTCACTCTATCCATAAGAGTGCGCCCTGACACCCTTCGAAGGAAACTCATTTCGGCCGCTTGTATCCGAGATCTTGTCCTTTCGGTCATGACTCAAAGCTCATGACCATAGGTCATGCCCATGCTCTGTTATTTACTTGTTTATTTATTTTTTGCCCTTTGGTTGTCTTACCTGCTTTCTGGAACCGCTCTTCGCCAGACTCAAACCTCGCTGTCGTGGTCAACTCCTCTCTGCATATACAGTCCGCTGTTATACAAGGCGAGCCACTGAGCAAACTGGTAATAGTGGAAAAGCTGTCCATATGGAGGTAAGCGGTGCGCACGAAAAGGAATGGCGCCTCACCGGCCCCCTAGCATTCGTCTTAAAGATGAAATGCAGCCATACATACCCCTGGCTACATAATTAACGATCTCCAGAAATGCGTAAAGGGCTACGTTTTCAGAATGAGCCTGTGCTGTAATTATTACACAAGCCAATTAAGCTTCAAGCTAATTTAGGATTCATCAATGATGTTTGTTGTTTTTCTAAAGAGAGGCTCAAACATTAGCAGAACAAAGTGTCAGGAGTGAAGGAATGAAATGCCACGTCCTTAAAGAAACCTTGCACTCCTATAAGTTAAACTGTTAGTTTTTACCATGTTTAGCTTAGCTTAGCATAAATCATCATTCAAAAATGTCAAAAAAGTTTAGCTGATTTTCCTATTTAAAGCGGGACTCCTCTGTAGTTACATCGTGTACTAAGACTGATGCAAAATGAACAGTTGCTATTTTCTAGGCTGATGTGGATGGGAACTATACTCTCATTCTGGTGTAACAACTAATTCTATGGCTGCAGCAGGCACAATGATTTCACGCTAAATGGTATTAGCTAAAAAAAAAAAAAAGTCCCTAGTAAGCTAACTAGGCAACAACGCTGCATGATATTATTGTGTATGATGTAGCATTGATCAACAAAGTGCTGTAAATATTATATATACAGTACAATACACTTTACTATATTGTACAAAAATAC